TAACACCAATGTTTCATGTTCATTTATGTATACTTACAACATATGTACACACTATATACATTTACCATCAACACATTCAAAACATCGCGAGTGTGAGCAGCCACACCCAGACAGGCCCTCCCTCACTCCAACATCTTACTCGCCAACATTGCTCCTCCCACCATACTGTTATTGTTTTAATTACACTATTTACACATGTTACTATATACTTATCTACATGTTTTATTTACCAGAACTATGCAAGTAAGCCGGTATTGTGTCCAAATAGTACAGTGGCCATCATACACTGCATGAGAAATCACACAGCAGACAGCAGACGACGCTACAATTACGACATCACCTCCCTCACCAAAATAGCTCCACTCAACATACTCCTGTTGCTGTTATTACACTATACACACACACACACTGTATATACCCATGTACATGTGTGTTCCCCATAGCGAACCACGAAGCTAGTATGGTGAGCAAAACAAGAGTGGTTGCCACACAGTGTGGAGGCTACCTCAATTCTCTCCCTTCCTCACCAAAATTTCTCCTTCCACAATACTACGCACAACGCTAATTATAACCACAATCCTGGTCACTAATTTCTGTAAATGAATAATTGACCACAAGTTTATTTTGAAAAGGAACCTAAGAAGTGATTTGAAGATTCCTAGATGAACGAAATAATGCTGTGGTGCTGTGGCTAGCGCTATGAGCATTGTGAACAGCATTGGACCACTGATATTTGAACATTGTACCCAGTCATTATCAAACTCAGGCTCTTCTATAATACTATCATGGCTAAATAATACAAGTTATATATATATTTTGACATTATTAGGCTATGCTGTGGTCACGCGCTGAACAGCAGAGCTGTGAGCTCATACTGCGAGCGCCAGCCTTGGTTATTCACTCACTACTGAGGCTCTTACACCCGGCAATGTGGACCATGATTTTCTTTTAAGATGGCGTCTGTTTACAAGAGCCCTGAGGAAGCTGATGTGAACCCTATGTAGCTGCGGGAGTTTTGAATGGAACGTGAAAAAGAAAAACACCCGGAGGCGCGTTGCGCACCCGAAGCCTGGGCCTGCAGGCACGTTGCACAGTTAAAGGGTTAAAGTGAAGGCACACTTGATTATTCCCAGGGTTTGGTTTTTTTTTTTTTTTTTTTTTTACTGCTGCTCTCACTTGTGCAACTTTTAATGAATGATGGATTCTGACTCCAAGTCCTTTTCCTCATCTATCTGTTGTAAGGTAGTGCTATCAATTTGATAGTTGTGATGTGGATTGTTGTGCCCCACAGGCAAGGTCTTGCATTTTTTACATCAAAAAGCATTTGCCAGTCATCTGACCATTTGTGGAGTTCATGTAGATCTCTTTGTAAGGTCTCAATATCACACCTTCACTTCCCACTCTACCATAGATTTTAGTGTCATCTGCAAATTTGATGATGTGGTTTGTAATATTCTCATCTATGTCATTGATGTATATGACAATAAGGGTTGGCCCCAAAATGGATCCCTGTGGCACCCTGCTTAGCACATTTCCCCAGTCAGATTCATTCCCATTTACCATGACCTTTTGTTTTCTGTGTTTTAACCCTTGTTTTATTCATTCCAGTATTCTCCCATTTATTCCATATGCCTGTAATTTCATTGCAAGTCTCTCGTGTGGTACCTTGTCATAAGCTTTAGCTTATGTAAGCTCCATGTAAGCTACATCTACCGGAAGTCCTTTGTCTGAATAGCCGGTTACTGTTTCCAGAAATGTGAGGAGGTTAGTAAGGTTTTTAACAAACCATGTTGCGTTGATTTTATAAGATTGTTCTCTGTGAGATGTATGATTCCTTTCCTTAGGATTCTCTATAAGCTTGCAGATGTGTGATGTCAAGCTGATCAGATGGTAGTTTTCTGTCGAGCTCTTTCTGCCTTTTTTTTTTTAAATATGGGTAACATTTGCGTATTTCCAATCCAGGGGAACTATCCCTTGGTCCAGGGATTTTCTGAAAAAGAGTTTCAGTGGCAAACATAGTGCATTTGCCAGTTCCTGTACGACTTTGAATTGAAATTCATCCACACCTGGGGCTCTTGAGTCTTTTAGTTTGTCAATGCTCTTCCTGATTTTGTCGCATGTAATAGGTATATCCCTTAATTCATTCCATTCCCATCATCCACACGAATGTTTGAAGGAGGTGATGTCGTTCAATCTTTCTAGTGTGAACGCTAATGTAAAGTATTCATTCAGAGTGTTTGCTGCCCTCTTATCATCCAATATAACTTGGTTAGTCTCATCTCTTAGGGGTCCTATAGAGTACTTTGTTTTGGTTTTACTTCGTATATATGTATAGAATGATTTTGGATCATCCTTTATATTTCGGGCAAGTTTTCTTTCGTAGTTTCCTTTGGCTAATCTGATTTACTGGGTAGCTGAATTTAATGCCCTTTTATATATCTCATAATCCATGATGTTCATCGTGGATTTATTCCATCTCCAGAGATTCCTTTTAGTTATTAATGCTCTTTTTACTACTTGTGTCATCCATCTTGTTCCCATTCCTTTCTTTCTCCCTTTTGGCACATATCTTTGAAAGAGTTCAGTACTAATCTTTTTGAAATTTCCCTATGATATTTCCATGCCATGATCACCTATCAGCTCCCTCCATGGGGTGTTTTGCAATTCCTCTCTCATTCCCTGATAGTTTCCTCAATGGTAATCTAGGTCATCATCCTGGATCTTTACGATAGTTTCTGTAATTATATTCCATCTTAGAATATTGTGATCACACGATGGGGTGAACTTTTTTCCTACTTGAATTTGATCGACCGTGCCCTCTTCTGATGTTAGCACAAGGTCCAGAATGCTGTTACCTCAAGTGGGCTCTACCACATGTTGTATGATAAATGAGTCCTGTACCAAATCTAGAAATTCATCTCCTGCTTGCGATGTCAGATTTACCCAATTTATTGTCTCACAGTTAAAATCACCCATTATAAGAGTTTGAGTTTGTGATGCAGCATTGATCACATTATGCAGTAACTTCCTCTGATGTTGCTGTGTAAGTCCAGTAGCATACTCCCACTGTCAGTATGTTACCATCTTGAGCTAGTATATTGCACCATACAGACAGAAGAACCAATGGTGTTCAGGTCCTCCTTCACATGAAGCAGTACACCACCTGCTCTTGTTGTTCTGTCCTTTCTGAACGGTGGATGATACCCTGGGATGAGGAATTCCCCTTTAATAATGTTCTCTCGTCCCCATGTTTCACTTATGCCAATGATGTCTGCATTCTCAGCTTCAGCATATGCACACAATGCCTCACACTTATTGACCAGGTACATGGCATTAGTGTAGAAGCACTTTAAATTTCTTTCGTTGTTCAAATTGGGCTGAGAGATAGCTCCTAGATTCTGCACATTATTATTCTGTTCGTTGTCATTCTGGTTTTGTGCTTTTTTGTCTCCCAAGATATATAGGGTTAGTTCTGCCTGGCTGGGTGGGGGACCACGTCCTTTCCTTGATCTACTATTTTGATCACCCGTCCTCTCCTGATCACTAGCTTTTAATCTTTGTTTGCATCTAGGTTCCTTAACTCCTTTAACATTATATATTGTATTTTAACAGCTTTAATGCAAGTTCACCAAGTGCCTTCTGAATACTGTATTAAGACTTTCAGAAGTCTATCAAACTGGCAAAAAAAAACAGCGTTGAATGTAATGAAACGCCATTTTTTGGGTAAGCCCCCGGACACTCCCAGGAGCTTATCAAGCTAATGTATGTTATATTAGACCGTGACATTAGCTAAGGAGTTCAGACCTACCAGGGACCAGCGCCAGAACCTGGCCCCTTCAGAGAGATTTCAGGGGACCAATGGCCCTAGAAAACCCCCTTGTGGTTGGGGTTTTCGCCGTGGAGGTCTGACACCCCCCCTGTCCCCCTTCTGGGGAGGGGGGGAGGTTGCACAGATGGATGCACGGCAGTTGTGATGTAATGTTTGTTTCCTTGTTTTTGATTGGGGAGTTCTGTTTGCTAGTTCGCTTTCGGTTTGCAATTTTTGACCAGCAGTAGTTTGTTTTCAAATTCCTACCTTTCTGGGTGCCTGACCTGATAGATGGCAGATAAAGACTGCTTCCAATGACAGAGGGGTGTCTTTAGGCCATTGCTCCTCGTGCCTCTCTTGAGGGGGCCAGGTTCTGGCTCTGGTTCCCAGTAGGCTTAAAAGTCCTTCGAATGACTGTTGCCACGGTCTAATATATACACAACAGCCCGTATAGCTCCGGGGAGACAAAGGGGATCTCCACAGAAAAGTGGTTATCAGCTTTTTGTACAAAGGGACATAAGAAATATTGCCATTGGGCAATGTATTTATATGATTTGTTATAAAATACAGCATAATAACATACTACTCATTATTTTATGTGCAATCTGGTCCTCCAGGCAGCACCAGCTGCATATCCACTTTGTGGACCCTCTTACTGTTATTATTCTTCTTTGTGTGTCGGACAGGTGCTTTATCCCTGATTACCAGTAAATAGGAGGTGTTATTGTTATTATCAGTACCGGTTGCTGCCCATAGTGCACTCATTTAATTTTAAATAATTTGTAAACAATTAATTTCTTAACATATTGGGATGAAATTTTCATGACACTGATGCCAAATAATAGGAGATTTGTTTAAAATTCTTCATTATATTTCACATTTGGAAAAAATACTCCTCAGTCACAGGGCCCCTTAAGTATGTCTGACTCAAAATTAATTAGTGGCCTCCCATGATTGCTTTGAGACATCACTGAGCTACTGGAACCATAGGGTCAACACTGGCATTCAAACATTGACACATGTAAATTTTTTTATGATGATCATAGTGCACTAAACTATCAACACAATGATGATAATAGTACTTTGAGGGTTCAAACTCAACACACTACATACATTTTTAAATAGAATAAATCTAACACCACAAAATACACAAAATTAATACAGTACTAAATATTAACAAATATTAGTATACCTTTTTCTTGTCTGGTAAAACAAAAGGGTATACTCCTTCTAAGTACAGATTTCTACAAGCTGATTTCTTATCTGTTGTATTTTGAAGGTTGTGCAGTGCCCGCCAAGCAGGTAAAAATATCTGGGATTCCTTGTTATTAGCACAATGTTTGAGGGTATCCACCAAACCTGTAAAAAAAAAACCAGCATTGAATGTAATGAAACACCATTTTCTGAGTGAAACCCAGAGGCTTCCCAGGTCTCACATATCCATATATCCAGGCTGATATGTAACTATTAGCTATCTAGCATCAAAGTGCAAGGAGTTCTTGCCTTCCGGGGACAACGAACCAGAATCTGGACCCCTCAAAGAGGCACGAGGAGCAATGGACTATAGAAACCCCCATGTGGTTGGAAGCATTCTATATTTGCCATCAACTGGATCTGTCATCCAGAAAGGTAGGTTTCCCAAAACAAACCCCCTATTCTGGTGAAAAAAATTGCTACCAAAAGCCAAACAAGTGGACAGAACTCCCCAAATAAAAACTAGCAACTAGCACGGCATCATCACGTTGCCGCATCGCCGTCTGAGCAACCCCCCCCCCTCCCCGGAAGGGAAAAGGGGGAGCTCCAGACCCTCGTGCCGGTGATCCAACCAGCAGTTCTTAGGTTAGATGTCAAAAACATGCAAAAACACAGCCTACCGGAGGGAGGCTTTGTCTGCCAGCTATCAGGTCAGGCACCCAGAAAGGTAGGAATGTCAAAACAAACTACTGCTGGCTAAAAAATTGCAAACCAAAAGCTGAAAAAGCAAACAAAACTCCCCAATCAAAAACCGGGAAACAAACTTAACGTCACCACAACCGCCGCGCATCCGTCTGCGCATCCCCCTCCCCAGGAGGGGGGACAGGAGGGGGGTCCCAGACCTCCACGCCGGCAATTCTCCCCAGTTCAGAGACTGAGTATCAAAAATGCGAAAAACCGTCGACCGGAGGGAGGGAGGGATGCTGGGGAGTCTCCAGGTCTCACTCAGAAAATGGCGTTTCATTACATTCAATGCTGGTTTTCTGGGGGAAGCCCCGTCGGCTCCCCGGAGCTACCTCACCAAAGATAAGGAAAAGAGGGGAAGGAACCGGGAGGCGGATGCCATGCGCCCTAACTCAAAAACAAGACAACTGGCAAACCAAAGGACCCTGCAGATGACCCAGGAAACCCAAACCTCAGACCAGGGAGGAAGGAAGGGAACTCGGGTAAACCAAAGCGTCCCCACGGCCACAGAGGCCAAGACGCGCAGAGAACAGCAGAGCAGCAACCAAACAGAACACACAATGCACCCTTGGCCCGACCAACCAAGCATCAAGTACCCCTCCAGAAAGCAGCAGACCCAATCCCTGCCAGAAAAAAGGAGACCGCTGCAAATGAACAACCGACCACCAGGACCACAACGAGCAAAAAATCTCATGCGCCGGAGGAGAGCCTGCAGCTCCCCGGCCCAACCCCCAGAGGCCAACACCAACAGGAAAAACAAACCTGAACCGAAGAGACTACAACAAAACTGAGGAGAGAGAAGAACACCCAGGCCAACGACCAGGAGGGCACTGGAGGTGCACGAGCAGGCCGGAGGTGAAACAATGCACAAGACAGCTTGTGGAACGGGGCAGAAGGAACATCAACATTAAACTCAAGCTGGAGTGGCTCCACCAGTGCCATACAATACTTGGCATAAGATGATGGTCCTGGAACACCCATGAAGGGAAGGAAAAACAACCCAATCAGAGACTGAAATACACCTACACAGTGATAGGAAAAAACGGAAGGACTGCCAGGAAACCGCATACTGCCGACGAGATGAAGCACGCAGGTGGGAGACAAACAACGAAGCCACCTGCGCCTCATACAAGTGATGATAGACTTGAGTCAGAAACTCCAGATGTGAAGACTCGAGGAGAAGAATGAACCAGCCTCGTTCTGGGCTAGACCGATCTGCTGAAAGAGGTGGAGCCATGGGAAAACTCCTGGATTCGAACACCGAGCATGCAGTGCCAGAAACCCAAGGTTGAGCCGGCCACCAAGGAGCCAGAAGGACAACTTTCCCCTAGTAAGTCTCTATGCGAGCCAGGACCTGGAACAACAGCTGAACTAGGGAAAAAGGTACAAGTACCTCTTTACAAGAGGTACCTCCCCCAGCCCCCTGAGAGGGAACCAGATAGATCCCCGCCAGTTCACCAAAAACCCAAACCGGGTGAGCTGGGAAACAACCAAATCCCTGGCAATCAGACACACGGACTGGCCGGGAGCCCAAACCCGCCAGTCGTCGTGGGAGGCCAGAACCCGGACACCTAACAGATGCAGGCGGGCTACCACGACCTCAGTGAGGCGTATTAAAATACGAGGCTCCAGATTCAAGCAGAATGAAAGGCAACAAAAGCGGTAACCTTGATGCCCCACAACAAAACTGAGCCAGTCCCTGAACCTCAGATGAAACGGGACGTGCCAATATGCATCCCTGAGGTCCAGGGACACCACCCAAGCGCCCGGCTCTAATAGAAGACGAACCTGGGACAGAGGAGACATCTGAAAACAGGGCAATAAACCCATGGCTGCAGACGGGGCAAGTCCAGAACGAACCGGAGGTCCATGCAGACCTGCAACAGGACCAGAAACAGGTGAAAACCCACCTGAGAGACGAGGATGGTTCGACCACGCCTAAGCGAACCCACACCGAGAAGTCTTGACAGAGCGCAGGAGAAGAAGCCTGCCCCGCCAGCCCCGAACCTCCCGAAGGAGGAGGACCCACCCAATGCCACTGCAGGCCACACAAAGTGACCCGAAGGGCCCACAATCATGGGATCAGGTAGGAGCAAACAGACCGAGCCTCCCTCTCCTCTCCAATGCCTCGTCAATGGGACGAACTGCAAAAGGGCCAACACACCTGAAGAGAACCTAAGTGGCGCACAGGGCGATCCCTGCCCTGAACAAAAAAAGATGGAACCGAAGGCTGTGCCAGCCCCGAATCTGGCTCTATCAGCCTACCACAAGGAGAAGAACCCCGAGCCCTGGCACGACCCTTCTGGGAGGGCCCCCCACGAGCATCCTCCAGAGGACAAACAGGCCCGACATAGGACAACAACGAGCCGAAGCCGCTTGCAGATACAGTACTACACAACCGCAGACTCTACCAAACAGCGATGGACAAAAAGGCAAAGATGACCTAAGAGTCAGGGCCCAAGCGAAATCCAAGAAGCTAGTACCGATAGCCGAAACATGAAGGGAGAAGCAAAAACTGTGAACCTGCACTGCCATCTGAGCCTTCCCCCACGCATGGGTGCGGGACTGACAGAACATGTGCCAAGCCTCCAACGAGAAAGCGGGGAGTCTGCCAACCAGGACGATGCCAGAACTTCGTAACGAACCCAGTATGGACACGGCAATCCATACACGAAGGAACACGGTTGCACCACAAAAGCATAAGTCGGGCCGCACAGGAGGAAAGCCGCAAGGGCTTCCCACACCACACGAGACGGGACGCAGGAAGCCGAAAACCTCCGGAAGAACAGGACCAAGGAACCCACAGGATCACTGAACCGAACCCGGGGAGGGGCAGATGCCAATTCCAAGTCTTACAAGAAGGGAGTGAAAAGAACCCCCGCCATGCAACCCAAGCCCCGTTCCAAGGGTACAAAAACCCAGGTAGGGACCAACGGAGCCTAAGGCCCCCAAATCAGCCCCACCCCGGGAACCTCACTCAAAGAACTTGGAGCCGAGCTGTCCCCCCAAAGCCCCAGCCTCACGAGAAAAAGCCAGGGCAAGCGTAAAAACACTAAGGAAGAGGGCCCACTGGTCAGACCCGTATGCATCGGCAGGGGGGATCCAACTCAAATGAACCTGCTGCCACCCCGGAAGAGGACACCTCCAAAACCGCCAGAGCCTCAACACCAAAGAGACCCCGACCCGCCCTCGAACCCGCTGGAGGGTCGGAGCCGAAGCCAGGGCAGGGGAAACCAGACCCACAAAAAGGGAAGGAGGGAGGAAGTCAAAGCCACCTCCACCCCAAGTCTGGGACCCGAAAACCAAAATGGGGCAGTCTTGGGACAGTAACAAATCCATTGCATTGCAGCAACCGAAACCTACCATGCAATGCCTCTGCTGCCTGCACCTGCATATTATGTACAATAGCTAGGGTGAACTGGAGCACATACAAAGAACAAACATCGCATGACTCCGGGTCAAAGAAACACCGATCCGACAGGCAGGACGGCGGGGGGCACAACCGATGCCTGTCACCCTGAGACAAGGGGACAAAGCAGCCAGCAATTTCGCACAAAGCGAGAGGGGACTCGGGGGGGTCACATCTGTTGGACCACATAGCCCTCGTGGTGTTTCCCAGGATAACACACTAAGGGAAGCCCAGGGAAGCTGCTGTGAGGTGACTTCCCCACACCCGGGCGAGTCCATTCTCCACTACCCCATGGCGGTCCTGCCGCCTCAGTTACCTCCAAGCTTTCGGTGGGAGAGGATGTGCTGCTCCTCTCCTCAGCTGGTTCCCTCATCTCTATTCTATAATATAGGCTTTTTGCTTTAACCCTTAACATGCTAGGGGTATAATATCCTTTGTTCCCCACAGGCGCATGTAATTTTGAAAAAAAAAAATATTTTTTCTTCCTAACCTGTTAATTTGTGTTCACTGATCACGGGAAAAATAATAAAAAAATCGTAAGTGGCATATATTGCCTGCTATAGGGCGGGGAAGTCTGACAAAAAACTGGCGCTGACTGAGCGTGCGTCCCAGGCGGTCTGTTGATCGCCAGCTGTCAGGCCGGAGTTGCAACAAAGAGATAATTACCTAATTATTTCAATGTCTCTGATTGATTTTTCATAGTTTTTTTGCTGTAATATTATTCAATAGTGTGTAGTTTGATATATTTATATAATAAAATGAGTGAATCATCGCTGTACTCAAAAATAGGGTGTGCATATTGTTGATTCAATTATGTTCATCAATCAGTGAACAAATACTTTGTCGGTTATTACACTATATACACAGGTTATATATAAGTCTCTGCAAGTTTTGTTCACCATAACGAACCACTAAGTAGCTATTATGAGTCAAAAAGTAACGAGGAGTGACCGCCGTGTACCAGCCAGCCACTCACACCCTCCCTCAAGTCATCTGACTCGCCCACATTCTCCGCCCACCATACTGTTTTTGCTTTTATATTCAGACGTTATATATAAGTATTTCCATGTTTTGTTCACCATAACTGTACATCTAAGCTTGTATCATGAGTAAAGGCACAAAGACGTAGGACCTCACAGTCAGCTGATGGCTGCCGCCCTCAAGGCCGCCACTGGCTGCCACTCCCTCCCTCTCTCACCTCACCTGACTTGACTTGCCACCATTCTCCACCCACCATACTGTTTTTGCTTTTATATACAGACGTTATATATAAGTATTTACATGTTTTGTTCACCATAACTGTACATCTAAGCTTGTATGGTGAGTAAAGGCACAGACGTAGGACCTCACAGTCAGCTGATGGCTGCCGCCCTCAAGGCCAGACGCACTAATATTTCTACTCCAACAATACTGTTTGTGGTGTTATAACGCTATATACACACATTATATATAAATATCTACCTGTTTTATTCATCATACTCGTACAAGTAAACTGGTATGGTGCCCAAAGACCATCGTGGTAACCAGTAAACAACACCGTCGTCTGCATGGTGGCGTCGTGCAGACGACGCCACCGCCCTCACCAAAATGGCGGCTCCCTACCTTCTCCTCTTGCTGTTTATACCCTCCATACACACGTTATATATAAGTATCTACATTTGTGTTCACCATAGCGAACCACTAGGCTGGTATGGTGAGTGCAGTCAATAAAAGGTGGCCACACACAGTCAGAAGACAACGCCACTACCCACCCCTCCCACAGCATTACTCCTCCCTCCATGGAGCACAGTGCTAAATATCACCACAATCCTGCTATTATCAGAACCCTGGTCAGTTTTATCACAGTCAGGGGTCTTCTGTAATATCATCATCGCTACATAATAGCATGAACAAGTATATTATGGCATTTTTAAGCGATGCTGTGGTCACAAGCTGAACAGCAGTGCTGTGAGCTCATGCTGCGTGCGTCAGGCTTGGTTGCTTACTCAATACTGAGGCCCCTAACACCCAGGAGTTTGGCCCACGATTTTTTTAAAAAATGGCGTCTGTTTACAAGAGCCCTGATGAAGGTGTGGTGAACCCCGTGTATCCGCGGGCCGTTTAAATCTTGCGTAGTACTCCAACACGTCACATGACGTGATGCGCAGTTGACTGGAACAACGTCTACCACATCATATGACGTGATGCGCACTTTAAGGGTTAAGAAGCACATCAACAAACTGGAAAAGGTGCAAAGACATGCTACTAAGTGACTCCCAGAACTGAAGGGCAAGAGCTATGAGGAGAGGATAGAGGCATTAAATATGCCAAAACTAGAAGACAGAAGAAAAAGGTGTGGTATGATCACTACGTACAAAATAGTAACAGGAATTGATAAAATCGATAGGGAAGATTTCCTGAGACCTGGAACTACAAGAACAAGAGGGCATAGATTTAAACTAGCTAAACACAGATGCCGAAGGAATTTAAGAAAATTCACTTTCGCAAACAGAGTGGTAGACGGTTGGAACAAGTTAGGTGAGAAGGTGGTGGAGGCCAAGACAATCAGTAGTTTCAAAGCGTTATATGACAAAGAGTGTTGGGAAGACGGGACACCACGAGCGTAGCTCTCATCCTGTAACTACACTTAGGTAATTACACTTAGGTAATTACTGATCTTGACACGCCACCCACTAAAGGTCATCCACAACGACCTCTCTTTCTGACTATTGCAGGAAACCAGAGCCATTCATCGCTGCCACGCCACCACCAACAGTTGGCGTTGTCCTCATAGAGTCCAATACCACAGGAGTTTTTGTGCAGACTCATAGATGGTGTTGAAATTGCCACTCTGCACTCCGGCAATGGTGTCGACACCGTAACATTCTTTTTTGTCAATTTTATAAATTCCTGTTACTATTTTGTAAGAAGTGATCATATCACCTTTTTTCCTTCTATCTTCTAGCTTTGGTATATTTAATACCACTAACCTCTCTTCATAGCTCTTATTTTTCAGTTCCAGAAGCCATATAGTTACATATCTTAGCACCATATCTAGTTTAGTGATGTGCTTCTTAAGATATAGGCACCATACAACTGCTGCATATTCCAACTTTGGTCTCACAAAGGTCATGAATAATTTCTTTAATATTTTGCTATCCATGTATAGCATTTAAAAGTGATTCTAAAGTTGGAAAGCATAGCATATGCTTCTTGCATAATGTTCTTTATGCGATCCTCAGGTGGTAGTTTTTTTTTTATCCAGAACCACACCTAGATTTCTATCAGAATACTTTAAAGCTTTTTCACATAATTTGTAGATTGTGTGTGGCCTATTTTCTCTTGGAGGTTTGTGCTAATGCACTCACACTAGTCATGAGAGATTTGAGCATTTATTTACATTGTTTAGGGAGTTCTTTTGGTAGTTTCAAAGCTTCGGTTCTTTTGAATCAAGCAGTGCTCTGTATTGGTTTGCTAACTTTCTGGACACTTTTCCAGTGAGATGGCAGAGTATTATCTGCTCTCTCTGTGTCTCTGTGAGGGGTCCAAGTTCTGGCTCTGGTCACCTTTAGGCTAAACAGAACTCCCCAGCTGATGTGACCTAGATGCCATCTCGGCAAGATAGTTTCAGGGAGCTACTGGGGCTCATCCAGAAAGTGGCATTTCATTACATTCAATGCTGGTTTATTGACACAGAAAGTGTTAGTATATATAAATATTGTTTACTATGTGACATAACGGGCTTAAATATACACATGTAACAATATTTCCTTTCCCTGGGACATCTCTCATACTTGTCCAGTTCTACCTAATCAAATGTGACTTCCTCATTTATTACCTCATTCATTTACTATAACAGAACTTGTAAAAGTCAGACAAGCTATCCAGTAAATGTATACCTACCACGGCAGAACTCGTACAAATCTACTTGCAATACCTGATTATACACAAAAATTTTAACAGATGTCATAAACATACCGATGCTCTCCTACTGTAGTAAACTATTTCAGAAAATATTTTAAAGTACCTGCTTCGTGTATAAGATGAACATCCTTTTTCAGAGCAATAACATTTGCAATAATCTTGAGTGTGAGTGGAGTTACATAATCATCTTTTTCCTCAACTACTTGTTTAAGAGTCATTGCCAGATCAGAGTCAAGAAAAGCTGCAAAAGACAATTTGTTTTAGTTGGAACAATTATTTCCTTTCACAGTGGTACTGGACTGCCTTTACCATCAACCTGCTTTCACTTTCACTAATCACTATTAGAGATTAGCGAGTTTGGATTTGGTCGCTAACTGCAGTACAGTATGGCAAGCTGACTTTAATAATTACAACTTTTGGAATAATGTTTGTTATACATCTACAAGTCAGAGATATTAAAATCAAACTTATCTAAATTGAGAGTATAAACTAGTTAAAGTTTTAGACATATAGAGGTAACAAACTTAATTAAAATACTAACATACAAACACATAAAATAAAGCATTGACTATAATGACATGCTTCCTTTCTGGAGGTCCTTCTGTCTCTTAGTTTAAGTACAGTACTGGTGCTCCAGGAACAATTCCTGTAACCAGTAACGAAAACTATAAATCCAGATGAAAAGTGGTCTTGCAGGAACCAATATCACTCACCAAACTAGGAAGGAGACCTTGAGCCTAACGAGAGATGCTGGAGAAAAACAAGGAAGACCGAATGATCAAGATATAAAAAACCAGCATTGAATATAATGAAATGCCATTTTATGGGTGAGACCTGGAGGCTCCCAGGAGCTATCCAGGCTGATATGTATATCACTAAACTTTGGCATCAGTCAGTGTGTAGGGAGTTCTAGGCCTACCGGGGTCCACGAGCCAGAACCTGGCACCCTCAGAGGGGTATAAGGAGCAATGGCCTATAGAAATACACACGTGATTTGGAGCATTGTATATCTGCCATCGACCTGGACAGGCACCCAGAAAGGTAAGCACCTCAAAACAAACCCCTATTCTGGTTAAAACGACAAAAATAAACAAACAAGAGGACAGAACACCCCAAATGAAAACAAGTAAACAAGCATGACGTCACACAACCTGCACCGCACGTCTGCGCAGCTCCCCCGTCCCCAGGAGGGGAAAGGGGGAGCCCCAGACCCACTGCGATAGTGATCCAACTAGCCCAAGACAAGTTACCGAAGACGGCAGCAAGCGCAGCAAACTTACAAACGTCATGGGCACAGGGATAGATTGCAGGCTGACTAGACTAAATAACCCTGTGGACAACCTGAGAGACCTGAACCCAGGAACAGGGAAGAAGGAAGACCGGATCAACTCAAAGAGCATTCCCAGCCACCGAAGTCGTAGAGCGCAATAAACGGCGAACCGCCGCAACAGGACACAACACATGATGCACCCCCCGGCCTGACCAACCAAGCACCAAAAGCCCAGGGACCCCTCCAGAAAGCAGCAGTGTCATTCTTCGCCAGAAAAGAAGGAGATGGCTGCAAACAAAAAAACCTATCACCACGACCAAAAGAGCGGAAACCCCTGCTCTGGAGGAGAGCATGAAGCTCCCCGACCCGACCCCCAGAGGCCAATGTCAACAAGAAAAGAGCTTTAGAAAAACAATCTGGAACCGAAGGGGCCACAACAAAACAAGGAGAAGACAAATGTGAGAGCACCTTGTCCAAAGACCAGGGCGGCTCAGGCGGCGCATGAACAATCCGGAGGTGAAACAACGCCCAAGACAACTTGCAAAACGGTCCAGAAGTAACATCAATGTCAAAAAACAAGATGCAGTGGCTCTGCCAATGCTGCACAATATGAGGTGACAGTATTCGGCATCAGATGACGGTCCTGAAACAGCCACGAGAGAAAGGATAAAACAACCTGAACCAAAAGCGAAGTACAACGACGGAGAGACAAAAGAACTGGAAGGACCGCCAGGAAACTTCATACTGCCGCCGAGACAAAGCCCTCAGGTAGGACACCATCAAAGAAGCCACCTGATCACCATACAGATGCTGATAGACTGGTTTAAAACCCCAGATGGGAAGACTCGAAGAGAAGATCGAACCTGTTACGTAACAGACTGGACCGATCTGCTGAAAGAGGCGGAGCCGCGGGAAAACCTCCGGGTACGGACTCAGAGCAAGCAGCACCTGAAACCTAGGCTGGGTCAGCCACCAAGGGGCCAGAAGGACTGCTCTTCCCTGGTAAGTCTCCAAGTGAGCCAGGACCTACACCAACAGCTTGAACTAGGGGGGGAAGAGGTACAGGAACCCCCACCTCGACCAGTCCTGCCGAAAGGCATCAACTCCAACGGCCTCGCAGTCAGGGAAAGGCACCACATATACCAGAAGATGCTGCGACCATGCCGACGCGAAGTGGTCCACCTCCGGGCACCCGAACGTCTGGCAAAGCCTACTAAACAAGTCAGCGTCGACCGTCCAATCCGTGGACAGGGTAATGAACCGGGACAGGCCGTCCACCAGGACGTTGGACACACCCAGGATGTGAACGCCCAGGAGAGCCAAACCCCGAGAACTCAGTAAACGAGTCACCTGAAGCGACCAGCCCCAAAAAGCCAAGGATCGCATCGAATTCCCCTTGGTTCAGACAATGAACCACCGGGGAGCAGTCCTAATGGAGGACAATCTGGGAGACCCGAGCCCTGGAACAGGGAACGAGGGAAACCGGATCAACCCAAAGCGCATCCCCAGCCACCCAGGCTGAAGCGCGCAGGTAACGGCGAAGTGCTGCAACTGGACACAACACATGATGCACCCCCGGCCGAACCAACCAAGCATCAATGACCCACAGACCCCTCCAGAAAGCAGCCGTTCGTTCTTCGCCAGAAAAGATGGAGAAGGCTGCAAACGGACAAACCTACCCACAGGACCAAAAAGAGCAGAAACCCCTGCGCCGGAGGAGAGCATGAAGCTCCCCTACCCGGCCCCCAGAGGCCAATGCCAACAAAAACAAAGCCTTGGAAAAACAATCAGGAACCGAAGAGGCCACCACAAACCGAGGAGAGGAGAGATAGGAGAGCACCCTGTCCAAGGACCAGGACGGCTCAGGAGGCGCATGAGCAGGCCGGAGGTGAAACATAGCACGGGAAAGCTTACGAAACGGGGCGGATGTGATGTCCACCCCGAAAGCTAGCTTGAGCGGCTCCGCCAGCGCCGCACGATACGAGGCGACAGTATTAGGCATCAAATGACAGTCCTGAAAAAGCCAAGAAAGAAAGGACAAAACAACCCGATCCGAAAGAAAAGACAACCTACGAAGAGCCAGAAAATGGCGAAAAGAACGCCAGGAAACTTCATACTGTCGCCGAGACGAAGCTCTCAGGTGGGACACCATCAACGAAGCCACCTGATCACCATAGAAACGGTGATACACCCGCGTCAAAAAGACCAGACACGAAGAGCAGAGGAGAAGGTCGAACCAGCTTCGTACCGGATCGGACCGACCTGCTGAAAGAGGCGGAGCCGGGGGAAATGTCCAAGGTTCGGGCACCGAGTCAAAAACACCGGAAACCAAGGCTGGGCCGGCCACCAAGGGGCCACGAGGACTACTCTTCCTGGGAATGTCTCCAACCGAACCAGAACCCGAAGCAACAGCTGGACCGGGGGAAAGAGGTACAGGTAACCCCACCTCGACCAGTCCTGCCGAAAGGCATCCACCGCGAACGCTTCGCAGTCGGGGAAGGGCGTCACATATATTGGGAGATACCGAGACCCCACCGACGCGAAGAGGTCCACATCTGGGAGACCGTACGTCTGGCAGATCCAACGAAATGAGTCATCGTCAACCGTCCACTCCGTGGACAGGGGATGGAAGCCAGACAGACCGTCCGCCAAAACGTTGGACACTCCCCGGACATGAAACGCACGGAGAGCCAAACCCCGAGAATCCAGCAGATGAACCACTCGAAGGGACCAACCCCAAAGAGCCAAGGACCGAAGAGAACCCCCACGGTTCAGGCAATAAACCACTGGAGAACAGTCTGAATGGAGGCGGATGGTCGATCCCCGAGCGACCCAAATACTCCGAAGCGCGAACCAGACAGCCGCGAACTCCCGAACCGTGCTGTGAGCCCGATGGAAGGACGGACCCCACCGTCCCTGGCCTGCCTGGTGAGCACTGGTCACAAAGCCCCAGCCGAGAGACGACGTGTCCATGAACACATCAAGTGAGGGCTCGGGAAGGCGCCAAGGCACCGAACCCCGAAAACCCCGAAGAGGAAGCCGGTGACACAGCAACCGACATAAGACCCCCGGAGGACGAACCCAACAATCGCGAGAGAGGCGGAAAGGACGTCCCCGAAGGAACCAAAACAGACGCCGAAGCCAAACCCGACCCAGCGGGTAGACTAGCACGGCGAAGTTCAGACTTCCGCACAACCGCTCGAGCAACCGCCGAGTGACCCGGGACCCCCCCAGAAACAGCTGACGGCGGTCCCGCAGCCGCCGCAACGCCTCTGGAGGGAGAGACAAGGAAGCAGTCCGAGAATCCCAAACAAGACCCAGCCAGGTCCGAACCTGGGACGGAACCAGATGGTACTTCCTCCAGTTCACCAGGAACCCGAACCTGGCGAGCTGGGAAAGAACCATATCCCTGGCGAGCAGACAAGCTGACCGACTGGGAGCCCACACCAGCCAGTCGTCGAGGTAGGCCAAAACTCGAATCCCTAGAAGACGCAGATGGGTCACCACAATCCGGATCAGACGCGTGAAAATGCCAGGTACCAGATTCAAGCCAAAAGGTAGGCATCAAAAATGGTAAGCGTGACGCCCCACCATGAAACCTAACCAGTCCCTGAACCCCGGATGAACAGTTACGTGCCAATACGCGTCCTTGAGGTCCAGGGGCACCATCCAGGCACCCGGCTCCAACAGAAGCCGGACCCGAGACAGTAGTCATTCGAAAGGAGGGGCAAGGAATCCAGGGGTCCAGACGGGACAAGTCCAGAATGAACCTCAGATCCGCACAGTCCCGTTTCGGCACTGGAAACAGACGGGAAACCCACCTGAGGGATGTAGTCGTTTCGACTACGCCCAAGCGCACCCACTCCAAGACGACTTGACGAAGCCCAGGAGAAGAAACCTGCCCTGTTAGCCCCGAACCCCCCAAAGGAAGACGAGTCGCCCAACGCCACCGCAGGCCAGATGACACGACCGAAAAGGCCCACAAATCATGGGACCAAGCGTGGGCAAACAGAGCGAGCCTCCCCCCCATCGCCCCGTCAACGGGGCAAACCGCGAAAGGGCCGACGCCCCTTACGAGAACCCAACCGTCGAACAGGGCAATCACTGCGCCGACCAGACGACGCTGGCCCCGAAGGGAACAACGGCTCAGAAACTGGCACCAATGGCCCACCTCGATCAGCGGAACCCGGAACCCTGGCACGACCCCTCCGAAACTGCCGAGAACGACTGCTCCGGAGAATCAACAAGTACGCCATAGGACGACAACTGGACGTTGCCGCGTGCAGAACCTGAGAGACCGCAGTCTCTGCAAACAGCAACGGACAAAACGGAGATGAAAACCTAAGAGCCAGGGCCCAAGCAGATTCCAAAGAGAGGGCGAGCACAGCCTGACGGCACGCGAGGCTACAAGCAAAAAACAGAGACACTGCTTCCTTCAGGATGGGCGCAAGGAGCTTCAACAGTGCAGCCGATGCCCTAGCTGCCGAAGACAGTGCCCCGGACGAAGGCCCTTCACTCAACGCTCTCACATCCTCCTCAAGCCAAGCAGAAGACAGCTTGAGAAGGGAATAGAAATGCAAGACCGAAGCCAAATGCCCACGGGAGCGCAACTCCTCCACAACCAACGAAGCCGAAAGCTGAGGAACCTGCACGTGAAGCTGGAAAAGGCCAACATCCCGAGAAAGCACGGGAGCAAATAAGCATGCATTAAGGTGCTCAAACTCGCCCCCAGGTAAACCTGCATAAAAGTAGCATTTTCCCGCCAATCAAGCGTGCGGGTCCGACAAAACTCATGCCACGCCCCCAACGAAAAGAAAGGGCGGTCTGCCAGCCAGGAAGACTCTGGAACCTCCAAACACACCCAAAAATGGGAAGAAGAACCGAACTCAAACAAGGACGGATCCATTGGGAGGCATAACCCAGGTCTCGCAAGAAGTATGCAGCAAGAGCTTCCCGAGCCACCTACGCGGAGATACGGGAAGTAGCAAACCCCTGGAAAGACGGATCCGAGGTACCCGAAGGCGCCCGGAACCGAACCCGGGGAGGAGCCGAACCCAAATCATACTCGTACAGGGAAGGGGGGGTAAGAAAACCCCTTCCCCTGCAACAATAAGCCCCGCAGGGAAGGCAAAAGCACCCAAGCGGGGTCACAGGGGGCCCAAGGCCGCCAGGTCGACTCCTCCCCAGCCCCAGGATCCCCCACGTCAGGACCCGGGGCAGAGCCGTCCTCCAAACCCTCTACCTCTGAAGAAAAGGTAGAGTCCAAGGGAAAGGCAGACAAGAAGGGGGTCTGCTGGCGGGACCCAGAAGCCTCGGCAGGAGGAATTGGCTCAAATGCCTCCGTCCCCGACCCGGATGGGGAAGCCCCCGAAGCAGCCCGAGTCTCATTACCAACTAAACCCTGTGCCGAGGCCGAAACCCTCAGACGTTTCGGAGCCGAACACAGGGAGGGAGGTGCAGGAAGAACCACAGGGGAAGTACCAGGGGGTGCAGCTGGAGCCAAAGCCATAGCGACCAACGCCCCCAGGTCAGGGTCCCTAAAGCCAAAACGGGGCAGCCTTGGGGCATCCAAGTGGGAAACCAACCTAGCGCGTTGCAATAACCTAAATCTAACATGCAACGCTGATGCTGCCTGTACCCTAACAGGAACATCCTCAGAGTAAAACTGGAACACAAGCAGAGAACATGACTCGCAAGACTCTGGGTCAAAGGTGTCATTGACCCAACAGGCAGCATGACGGATGCAAAAAAGGTGACTGTCACCCTGAGACAGGGCACACTGCAACCTTCAAACCCGCACAAGGCAGGCTGGAACTCAGGAAACGCCTCCATGGGTCCCCGAGCCCCGACAGGGGTTTCCAGGGCCCGTAGG